ATATTCTTCATTGAGGGCGTAGATAGGATTACATCAAGTAGTAATTAGAGAATAGTTGGAAGAGATTAGCAACTTCATTTTGGCGTGCAACATCAAAAGCAAAACAAAAACAAAAGCAAGTGCAAAAAGGAAGCAAGGATCATTTATTAATTCAAAGGATTCAAAAGAAAAACACAAAAGAAAAAGAAATATCCGGCAAACAAAATCAAAGAAAATATGCATTACAAAGTCAAAACAAGAACGGTGGAGGCTTATTATCAACCTTACTGAAGAGATAACCTTATTATGTCTCGGAAGGGAAAGGTTATGAGTATTGTTCTTGGTTTGTAAGTCACCATTTCTCTTTTCTTTTCTTTCTTATTCAAAACCTTTTCTTCATTTATAACCCCTTCTTCTTTCTTTTGTTTACATTTGTCTTCATTGCCTTCTATTTCATTTCTCTCCTAATCAAGTTATTATAGTGACACACAAGTTCAAGGTTTGCTTGCCATAATCTTGAGTTATTTCTTCAAATGACTTAACAAGAGAGATTAAGTGGTAAAAGGAAAATTTGAGTGGGTAAGACCAGCAGGGGAATTGATAAAAGCCAATATATATATATATTCCTGAGTACAAACACAAGAGTTGAGTGGAGTGATCTATCAACTTTCTTTAGAGTGAAATTGTGAGGTTTTATGAGTGTGCTGGTAAGGTTTTTTATTTATTATTATTACTAACAATGTCTCAAGATTTCTCAGATCTTCCAACAACTTCAAGACAAGTTCTTGTTGTTAAAAGAACTTTAAATCTTCAAGCCATGGAGGACCATCAGAGAGAAAACATCTTCCACACCCGTTGTCATGTAAACAACAAGGTTTATGCCATGGTTATCAACGAAAGAAGTTGTACCAACGTCGCAAGCACAACTATGATGGACAAACTTAGATTAAAGACGGTCAAACAGCCAAGCCCGTATAAACTACAATGGCTGAATGATGGAGGAGAAGTAAAAGTCACCAAGCAAGTTTCAGTTCCATTCTCAATCGAAAAATATCAAGACAAAGTCCTGTGTGATGTTGTACCAATAGATGTGTGACATCCACTCTTAGGGAGACCATGTCAATTCGATAAAAGAGACATGCACGATGGCTACACATTCTGATACTCTTTCTTCCACAATGAAAGGAAAGTCATTTTGACTCCACTTTCACCAAGCCAAGTAACTGAGGACCATAATACTTTGAAAGAAGCATTGAGGCATCCAAATCTTCTAAAAATGAGGAACTTAAAAAGATGAACATATATGCTGGAGGAAGTGACATCAGGAAGCATCTTTCAACCCATAAAGCTTTAATTGTACTTATGTACAATGAGAGTTTTATTTTAACTAACCCTCCAGAAGGCTTGCCTTCTCCTATTCTTAATTTGTTGAAGGAATTTGAAGAATTGTTTCCCGAGGACATTCCTAGTGGTTTACCACCCATCAAAATAATTGAGCACCAAATCGATTTCATCCCTGGTGCAACCATTCCAAACCGACCAGCATACAGGAGCAATCCTGAATAAACTAAATAACTTCAAAAGCAAGTTGGAGAGTTAATGAAAAAGGGGTACATTCGTGAAAGCTTGAGCCCATATGTCGTTCCTATCCTATTTGTCCCAAACAAAAATGGTTTATGGTGGATATATGTGGATTTTCGCGCAATCAACCAAATCACCATTAAATACCGACATCCTATACTAAGGTTAGATGACATGTTGGACAAATTGAGTGGTGCCCCCATTTTCTCCAAGATTGATCTCAAGAGTGGCATCACCAAACCAGGATGAGGGAAGGTGATGAATGGTTGATGATGCCTTTTGGCTTAACCAACGCACCCAACACCTTAATGAGATTGATGAATCATGTTATCCGGCCCTTCATTGGTAAGTTTGTGTAGTTTATTTTGATGATATTTTAATCTACAACCAAAACATGATACACGTGTACAACACTTAAGGTTTGTACTTGAAACTTTACAAAAGGAAAAGTTATATGCTAATCTTAAGAAATGTGTTTTCTGTACTAACAGTCTTTCCTTCTTAGGATTTATTGTGAGTTCATAGGGATTGCAGGTTGATCATGAGAAAATTAAGGTCATCTAGGAGTTGCCAACGCCTACTTCAATCAGTCAAGTCTGAAGTTTTCATGGACTTGCAAAGCTTTTATAAAAGTTTTTTTTCCAACTTTAGTTCTATTGTCACCCCCTTAACAGGGATCATTAAAAAGAATTCCACCTTTACATGTGGAAAAGAACAAGAAGATGCCTTCAATAAGATGAAGGAATGTTTGACAAAGACACCCTTACTTGCATCTCCAAAATTTGATAAGACTTTTTGAAGTGGAGTGTGATGTATCCGGCATTGGAATTGGTGTTGTTCTAACTCAAGAGGGATGACCAATTGCATATTTCAGCAAAAAGCTAAGTGGTGCTTCAATTACCCAACTTATGATAAAGAGATGTATTCTCTCATTAGGGCACTTGAAGTTTGGCAGCACTATCTTTTGCCAAAGGAGTTTGCTATTCACACGGACCATGAAGCTTTGAAACTCATCAAAGGCCAGCACAAGTTGAACAAATACCATGCCAAATGGGTAGAATTTTTGGATTCCTTTCCATACGTGATTCGCTATAAGAAAGGTAAGGAAAATTTTATGGTAGATGCACTCTCCATAAGGTACGTACTCCTTAATACTCTTGATTCAAATATACTTGGCTTTTCGTTTATCAAAGACTATTATGTTACTAAACATGACTTTGGAGAAAGGTATAAGTCTTATGATAAAGGAGCAGATGAGACGTTATAAAAGCATGAAGGGTACTTATTCAAGGATGAGCATCTATGCATTCCACAAGGGTCACTTTGAGAAGTACTTGTTTGAGAGGCACATGACAGAAGACTTATGGGGCATTTCGGAGTAAATAAAACGTTAGCAACATTGAAGAAACATCTTTATTAGCCAAAATTAAAAAGAGAATTTGAAAGAGTATGTGAAAGATGCCTCATTTGCAGACAGGCAAAATCAAAAGTTATGCCCCATGGTCTATACATGCCTCTTCCAATTGCAAAGGAGCTTTGGGTGGATATATCCATGGATTTTGTGATGGGATTACCAAGGACAAAGAATGGATGAGACTCTATATTCGTGGTAGTTGATCGATTCTCCAATATGGCACATTTCATTCTATTCCACAAGACTAATGACGCAACTCATGTGGCCAATTTGTTCTTCAAAGAGATGATAAGGCCACATGGTATTCCAAGGACCATAGTCCCCGACAGGGATGTAAAACTCCTTAGTCATTTCTGGAGGACGTTATTGAACAAAATCGGAACTAAGTTACTATTATCTATAACATGCCATCCACAAACTGACGGATAAACAGAGGTGGTGAATAGGGTACTATCAACGTTATTGAGATCCATTATTAAGAAAAATATCAAGGCCTGGGAGAAATGCTAGCCACATGTGGCATTTGCTTACAATCTATCCGTTCATTCTGCAACAAAAATGTCACCATTTACGGTAGTATATGGATTTAATCCCTTAACTCCTTTAGATATTCTTCATTAGCCAGCTGAACATGGAATCAAAAAAGATGGAAAGAACAAGGCAGAGTTCATCAAAAAGCTTCATCAACAAGTCAGAGATAATATAGAGAAACGGACAAGATAATACAAACAATAGGCTAATAAAAGACGCAAACGCTTAAGTCTAGAGGTAGTTGATTGGGTATGGGTACATTTGAGGAATGAATAATTCCCTACACACAGAAAATCAAAATTGATGCCAAGAGGAGATGAACCTTTTCAAATAATTGAGAAGGTAAACGACAATGCATACAAGATAGATTTACCAGGCGAATATCAAGTAAGTGCTACTTTCAATGTATTTGGTCTTTCCCTATATGAGGACAACGACTATTTGAGGACAAATCACATAAAAGAAGGGTGGATGATGTGATCATACCAACACCAACATCAGAACCTAAAGTAATGCCATCAGATCCTATCACTAATACAAGAGCAAAGTAGTTCAGGGAAGTTCTTTCACACAAATGCCTTCATGCTTTCAAGTCATTTCATAAAAAGGAATCTTTAAATCATAAGTTATATTACATGTTGAATATTGACTTTTGATATAGCTTATGAACAACATCTTTATATTATAAATTTATTTTTTAAATACTTAGCTTATATCTTATTCATTTTGAAGATACATAGTCGACCATACCTAAGGGGGCTAACTTGAGCTAAATGATGAAGGCTAAAGCAAAGAGACTCATATAAAAACACTCAGGGGAGCATAAATAACAATTGGTGAAAATTTGTCCGATGACAAGTGAGCTCATAGCTGGATTGAGTTGAATATTTGAGATAGAAGATGACTTCATTTCAGATGGGGAGTTGCACCATCAACATCACCATTCAGAATACATTAAATATGGGTGAAGTCAAATTTTCATAAATCGTACCTTTTCGCAAAGAGGTGTCTTTCCCATAAATGACTTTTTTACAAGGAGCTGCCAAAACACTCGTCCTAATACAATTCACTTATGGTCAACTCACCTCCAGCTCATTCACCTTATAACTAACTCAATCATTAAGGGTACATTTTAACCATTGTGACCTTTCATGAATGTTGTTTTACATGAAGAAGCCATAACATCTAGGTGCACATTGGTGAAGAGTTTTCATCAAAAGGAGACCTAAATCTCGAAGAGGTATGAGACAGGCATCATAACCATTCGGCCATCCCCCACACGCAATGCACAAGGAGTCTTTGGAGCCAATATAAACCAATATCTCACCATTTGGCCAAGGTAGGTTCCATGCATGTGTTAGCCAAATCATTAAGTCTTTATGTGAAGAGATAGTTGAACCAACATGAAGGCCAAGAGACTTGTTCATTCATTTTAATAGTCATACATCTTCATTAAGACATGTACTTAGACGAATGGGCATATATCTATTCAGCCAACCCTTTCAACTCCTATAAATAGATAGGCTTAATTCATTTGTATCACACATTTGATATATAAAACTTTTTTTGTGAGAAATTTCTCTTCATGTTCTTTTAAAAACTATATTGATTAAGCAAATATAATTATTTATACTTGTGGTGTCACTTCTTTCACTTGATACTTATAATTCCTTGTTTTCATAACTAGTGGGTTTAAATCCTAAACAATACCCCTTATTCAAGTTTGGAAAGTCTGGGGCTATACTCTCTAAAGTATAGTTTCTTTCATAACTTGTCTAAGATACTATCCTTGTTCATCTCCATCACCATCCTTTTATTTCATCTTCCATTACCATTCTCCCATCAAACAACCATCTTCAGCAACCCAAATTGCCGTGCACTCAACTATATCAAGGACATCTTCAACAACAACATCATTTAAAGGCTACCATTGCCATACATCTTCTGCAGTAACTCTAATCATTCTCCATCCTTATTTTATTTCATTTCTATTTAATTTCCTAGTTATCATTCATATATTAATCCATTTCTTTTCCTTGTTTAATTGCAGTGATACTTATCAAGTCAAGAGCAATATTTGCTATCATTTCCTAGATTGGGACATCAATAAGGATATCCATCATCTTTTTCATTGAGGGTGTAGATAGGCTTACATCAAGTTTACTTTTCCTTCCCTTTGTTCTTGGAGCTTTCTCAAACTTCTCTCACTAGACAAGAATCAAACACCTGATTTTTCCAATTTGATTTAGAGATTAAGAACATTTCCTCTGATTTGGAGTACACGAGAATGTCGTCTATAAAAACCACCATGAAGTGGTCTATGTATGGGTGAAAGACTCAGTTCATTAAGTCCATGAATGTTGTTGGGTCGTTGATGAGTCTAAATGGCATTGCCAAGAACACATAATGATTGTACCTCATCCTGAAAGTTATTTTTGCTACATCGACATCATTCACCTTCAACTGATAGTATCTTGACCTCATGTCTATCTTGAAAAACATTAATGCTCCTCTAAACTAGTCGAATAGGTCATCTATCCTAGAGAGATGATAATATTTCTTGATGGTTAGCTTGTGTAACTATATGTAATTGATGCACAGCCTTATCGACCCATCTTTTTTAAACAATACTAGAATTCCCCACAGAGATATGCTCGATCGAATGAATCTCTTTCCTATTAACTCTTTGACATGAAATTTTAACTCCTTCAATTATGTCGATGTCATACGATAAGTAGTAATGGACACCGGAGCTGACCCTGGCAACACTTTAGTGCCAAACTCTAATTCACGGTCAGGGCGATAAACTTGGTAGTTCCTTTGGAAACACCTCAGGGAAATATCATATTGTCTGAATATCTATTAGTATAGGGACTATGACTCTAGTTTCAACTACGTGAGCAAAAAAGGCCTCACAATCTTGGTTGATCATCCGTTGAGCCTTTATAGCTGGCACGATCTTTGAATGGCCTAATTTCTTAATAGTCATCACTAATTTGGTGTCATCTTCTGCCTTGAGCTTAAGTTACTTGGCCTTGCACTTCAACCTAGTGTCATGCTCGGATAACCAATCCATACTCAAGATCATGTCAAACTCTCAGAAAGTTAACTCCATTAGATATGGTAAAAAGGTTTGACTCTGAATCTGTACTGAGCATCATCGATGGACCTTGTCTACTAGGATGTCTAAACCTAGAGCGCTCGATACTCAAACTCCTACCTCTAAATATTTTATTGGGATATATATCTCTTGAACTTTGTCACAAAAAATGTAGAAGTGGGTGGAACTGAGATCTATCAATGCGATAACTAGAATGGAAAATATTATGAAGATACCTGATATAACGTTGGCCACATCATAGTTCTTACGGGCTCTCACTAGCCACTAACATGGTTGTCTCTCTACTTTTCTGCCCAGACACAGCACTACCACCTCTCACTGACCCTTGACCTCTTTATATAGATGGTGCCCATCTCTACGTCGATGCTAGAGCTACTCTCTGGATCCCTAGACAGTCTCTGATGAAATTATCTAACGAGTCATAACTGAAGCAACTCTTCGACCCCTGCTGACATGATCCTGGGTGCCTTCTCCCAAACTGAGCACAAGCAAGATAAGTAAAGACTCTAGCTAACTTATTGGCACTACTCTAGAAGCTGAAGTCAATCGCCTCCTATAAGGCTCAAATTTACCCCTGTGGTTTGATCCCTTATCGAACCTCCTCGATTGTCCTATTGGGGGTCTCTATGAACCCTGATTGTACCTAACCCTCTTACCCAAAGTCTGTGATGCTTTCACTGGCTCAGTGGCTCTCTTGATCTGTCCCACTGTCTCACTAGACTACCTATTTATGATATTTAAATAGTTTGAAATAATATATATGTATGAGCTTTAGTAAGTAAAATATAGTTATAAATATGGATTTAATTTATATTTGATAAAGTTATATTTTATTAAAGTTAAATTTCTATTTAAGTAGTTTTTAGGTAGTTTCATTTAGGATATGATACAATATTAAATTGCTAAGTTGCCGCCTAAAATCAAATATGATTTGAATGTTAAAATATTATTTTTTTCAATTTTACTCTATTAAATAATTTTAATGTTTGATGTTAAAATGAGTGATTTTAAAAGAAATAAATTTTTTACCAATTTTCAAAATAAGAATTGTTTTTAAAAGTTTGATGTGACATATCTTACTCATTTTCGATAAGAATACGGGAAAGGGGTGTTACAATGTAACTTAACGTTGCTCAGATTAGTGCATCAAGCATTATTCAAGCATATCGATCCTTTCTCAAGTGTTCATCATACATATAATAGATCTATATTTCTATATCTCCACTAAGTGCGCTTGCCGAAAATGCTATGAAAATAAGATGGAATAGATTTCTCTATGCTACATAATGCTTTCCCATACAGTGATGTTAAACAGAATACAATATGTGATATAGATAGTTTTTATCTCTAAAAACAACCACGGCTAAGCTCTAACAAAAAAAATCAAATCATTAAAACAAAGTTACAAAAACATACATTCATAACATATAATAAAGTCACATCCAAGTTTAACAAACATCCCAAATCAACATTTCTCCCTTCTCAGGTATAAAAAATACAAGGATAATATAAAACCCAATCAATCGGCCATCGCTTGTACTGCTCCACGTCTGCTCGTTACCCTCTCTGACAGTGAATTAGACTACCATGGTTACTACGATTGAACATATAAAAATGGAGAAAATAATAAAGAATGAGAGGAAACATGGAAAATGTAATGAGAAAATAACCTCAATGACCAAAAATGCTTTATAATATACGATTTTAACCAACTTTTTTTGGATTTGCCAAAATGACCAACTAAATCGCAATGCGATCGATAATTCGCAACGCGATCTCCGGTATCGCAAATTAGTTTCCAGATTCGCAAGGCGATTCTGACTATCGCATTACGATTTTCCAAATTCGAGTTGCGATTTTACGACTATTGCAATGCGAATATGTAAATCGCAATGCGAATATGTAAATCATAATGCGAATATATAAATCGCAATGTGAATATGTAAATCACAATGCGATTATGACTATCACAATGCGATTCTGACTATCGCAATGCGATTCTGACTGTCGCAACACTGAATTTCAAAATTCGCAACAGGTTTTCGTTTCGCAACAAAAATGTTTTGGGTATATAACTACGTAGAAGAAGCAACTCATAACCTAAATCCCTAAATCGTAACTCATTCCATCTCCATCTATCACTCTCTCCGGTGACATCCATTCTTATATCCAACGACATCCTTCCCCATCCGGCAACAGGTTTTAGTTTCGCAGCTCGTTTGTTTAGTAAATTAATTTACAATAATGAAATCATCTAATGTTGATCATGTTTGGATAGATTTGTGTTTTGGAGGGTCATGGGAGAATGTTCATGGTGTTTTACAATATATGCCTTTACCCATGAATCTTCAACTAAAACTGTCATTAAAAAAGTTAACTTATGAAACTCTAATGTAACGTGTTGCAAATAAATTGAATTTAGAGCCCTTAAGCGGATTTAGGCTATCTTATCAGAGAAAAGGTAAAGTTTATTTGTTAACTGACAATGAAGATGTTAAACGATTCATTGCTTACATTAGTGTTTCGCAAGATGATGTTACATTGTATGTTGTTGAACCTAGAAGTAGTGAAGTTGGGTCAGTAGCGGGTAGTAATCAACTAAGTTTTTCAACCCTAGTTTATGGTGCTCAAAATTTAATGGTTCCACCACAATTTCATCACCAAGCAAATTTTGTTTCACTGCATTTCCAATACCAAACACAATCTCAAAACCCACAACCTTTCCCTAATCCAAATCCCAATCAACTTTTCAGCACAAAATTCTGGTTTTCGTATTAACCAGTTAGACGATGATGAGCCAACAGAAAAAATTGTGAGTACTAGTCGGTATTCGAAATTTGATCTTGGTCAATACCTGGACTTTGATCTTGGTCAATACTCGGATTTTAATGATGTTTCAGAAGAAGAAACAGACCCTGCGTGTAATGATTTTGATATTGATCAATACTCGAATTTTGATGATGAAACAGCCGCTGCCGAGGAAGATATTATTGATGATAATGAGGAGGAAGTTACGACTGTGAATGAACATGTTGAACATCCATTCTATAATTCATATAACCCTGAAGAAGAAAAATAAGAAGAAGAAATCCCCGAAGAAAAGTCCCCGAAGAAAATGCCACGGGAGTATAACTGGAATATGCCATAATTACTTCAGATACCGGAAGAAGAGTTGGTAAAAATAGCAGTTGATTGTTACACAAAAAATATTCGTATCAAGAAAGATGATTGTTTTGATACAAAGGAAGACTTGAAGATAGCTTTGTATATGAAATGTGTGGAAGATGGCTATCAACTAAAAGTTAACAAATCAAGCAAAGATCGTTTCGAAACAAGGTGTATGATTGACAAAAACTGTACGTGGCGTATGATTGCAAAGAGGATA